GTTGGTAATAAAGAGTTGGACACAATGAGCTCCGGGGGTCACAGGTTGGGTACAAGATATGTGTAAAAGACAGTGATGCAGATAAGCTCCTTCCTACCATTAGTAACAGGGTTTGGAAAAGGGAAGTCCACAGGTGTCTGTCTCAAAGGGGTGAAGCTCTTGCACGAATGAATGTGGGTGGCTCGCTATCTCCGCAGTGAAGGAGAGAATTCAGGATCCAGGGTATCTTCAGGATCTCACAAAAACCTAGCCTCAATATTAACAAGACTACTACTATTTACATTTCACTTAACTGTGTCTGGCTACAATGAAATGAATGCAACATCAAACATTACCATTTTAACAACAATAACAAAGAGCAATAAAGCCAATTCAACTGACATCTGTTTCTCTCTTTCTTTCTCCTCACGACAAATCAAAATCACTAATCACTTTTTATCCCAGTGATTGCACAACATTAACTCTAACTCATATATTCAATAAGTAATTCAATCTTTAAAATGAATTTTAACCATACACACAATGACCTGTATGCACAAAACCCTTATTTTAGCAATAAAATGAGTTGTACTTCACCCATTTCCTTACTGTAAAACAGTACTGACCCTTTCCAAATCAGCCAAAAAGAGACTGTAACATTTAAGAGCTCTTAATCTGCTATTATCAACACATAGTGTAAGCTACAACTGTACTCCTTTTTTGTGGAATCGACAGTTCACACAAATGGCCAGCTGGAGGCGCTGTTCCTCCAAAAATGGTGCATGACCGAAACACGCAGTCGATGGCTAGTTACAAGATACATTAGCTTCAGGTTTAGCAATAAGCTCATTAATTTCAATTATTTTTTTAACCTTTAACACGTACATTTGCTTTGTTCAAGCATTTAAAATATTACTGTTGGTACTGACAGTTTTAAACTCGAAAAGAAGCTAAGCAAGAGTGGCACGACCCCATCTGGGATATTCTGATAGGCTACTGACGCGTTTCCTTTGATCAACAAAATAAAGAAATGTATTATGAACTTATTTTCTGCTCTGGCTAGAAAAATCTTTTCATATTTTAAAGAGACAGCTATATACACTAAATCATAGAAAGCTTTGGAGACTTTGGGTTACATTACAGACTCAGATGTCTTAACAGTGGTGGTGATAGGAACCAGGGGTCGCCATGACTGCAACACAAAATTAGTCATTTTATTTACCACCAGTGAACCTACAGGAGTCTTCTGAGTTTTTATATGTAATGTTGAAAATTCTTTTGGGGACTATTTTGCCTTACAATGCCCTGTATATACTCCTCCTTTTATTTTCAATAAAAGATAAATAAAGGTAAAAAAAATCTAGTTTATTTGAGTTAAATGCAATGATAGAACAATAATAATAATAATGTCATTATACATTCAGACATACTCCAAAAATAACCGGTAATTTTTGATATTTTAAGAGACGGAGCGCTCTCAGAGTAGTAACACTAAAGACTCATCAAGCATTGTTTACATCAATATTATTTCACAATGCTCAGTAACAAACTACTGTTTTCGCAATAATCCCTCTACTAAAAATGCTATAGATCTGTACTGAGGTATGATCGTATCTCAGTATAGATACATACAGTAAGTGGTGAATGTTGAAGCTCTACAGTCTAAAACATGCTGGGTTGAAAACAACTTTGTTTAAGTAGATTTCAGTCACTCCACTAATCCAGCAAGAAGTGTTGTTCACTTAATCCAGCAAACTGAGCTGAGTATTCAACCCACACAGTGGTTCATACAAGACTGGGACTGCATCCTATAAATGGATAATTCATTATTTATATATCATTGCTTCTATACAGTAATTTCTGTGAAACATACATTTTGAAACAGACTAGGCTTGTAGAATTAGACTTTTTCTCTTTAACAAAAATATGAATAATGATTTCTGTCTATATTAAATAATGTCATCAAGCATCAACCAAACTTAGAAACTCAGCATCAGTGCTGTGTGTTACTGAACTGGATTTCTGTGAGAAGCAGCTGCAAACAGAAACTGGGTTGTGAGCACTGAATACTATGTGGTGAGCACTCAATACTATCAAGTGAGCACCGGATACTATGTGGTGAGCACTTGCTCACTGGTGCTGGGCGTAGTGAACAGAAAACGTAGCACTAATTAACCTTTTCTTAATGGGCCATGCTTACATTTCGTTTTCAGTGTTACAGATCTCAGTGGTGTGTTTATTAAGAGATGACAAACTCTTGCATATTCATTTTTACTTCATAAGCAACAATTTAATAAAGTAACAATTGCTTACAACTTGGCACAATGACGTTGCTAACCAACTAAGCTAATTCAATGACTTATGTAACTGAAGTCAGAAAGTTAGTGCGGCATAAGATATAAAAAATGAAGTCATCTGCTTTACCTTCGCTCTCACCGAGACTGACCCAGCCCCTGACCCAGCAGCCGAGCTACACAAAACTGCCCAGCACCATGGAAATAACCCAACAAAATAATCCAATAGCCAGCCCAGCATGTATGGAGGACCAGATTTGCCAAACTGAAAAATGAATAAAATTAAAAAATAAATGGCTCAGTAAATTAATCAATTAAAAAAAAACTAAATAAAGTATACGTTGTGATTGTAATGATACACATATTTCCTTCTTCTGCAGTTATATATTTCTCAATTTATTTATTTCTGTATTATTTATTGTTTTATTAATGCCATTTGCATATATATATATATATATATATATATATATATATATTCCATATCTATATTTTTAATAATTGTTTGCTTTATTCATTGATTCATGTATTCATTTATTTTATTTTTTTCATTAATTATTTTCTTTATTTCTGTATTTTGTCATTCATATGATAATGAGGGGGCGTGTTTTTCACGTTCAGGCTTAGCAATCTAGCCCAGGAGGAGAAGAGCTGATTAAACTGTTCTTTCACTCCATAAAGAGCTGCAGTGTGACGGACAGACAAACCTGCTGATAAATAACTCTCGATGGCTCCACAGGCAGTGTGTGAGAAGGGCGTCCGAATGTCTGAGTGATCTGAATTTTGCAGAAAAAGACGATGAGCCGCCTCCTCCAAAGTTCTGAACACTACGGGCCGACCTCTGAATCAGCAGAGGCAGCAAAATGGACCAAACTGTCCCCACAGCCTCCACACGATAGAGTCAATAATCCGGACCTGCATTTTCAGGCAGATCAGCCGAGACTCTCAGATCTCTGACTGTCTGCTGCTGTTAGATCCCATTATTGTACTCTCTCGTCCTTGGTTACCGCTGATAGAGCAAGACATGCACAATCGATCTACAGACTCTGACATCGATCAACCAATAGGAATATTAAGACGCTGTGACATCATTGACTGACAGCCCCTTTATTAGCATTAGGACAAGGAAATACAGAAATAAACAGAGAAATAAATAAATGTAGAAATTAATGGTTATGGAAATAAATTAAGAAAAACAGAAAAATGTTAATAAAGAAACAGAAATAATAAAAAAATAAAGACAAAAATTAGTGAGAGGGGGAATTTACTAAATAGACATAAATAAATGCAGACATCAATTTATGTAAGATTTTATCTATTAATATATTGTTATGTATATTTATTTTTAGATTTATCATCATTATTCTTTGCAATTCTACTTCATATATTCATTTATATATTAAATAAGTCATTTATTTTTAATTTTATTTATTTTTCAATTTGGCAAATCTGGTCCTCCATAAGCATGTAGGTAGAACTATCATCTGCTGGAGGAAAACACTACAGACTCTTAACCCTGACCAGAAAGATGACCATATCCTGCATGTCGTGTCCTCACACCTGTCTTCTTGGGGCACTTTTGCTATGATGTACAGATTTAAGTATCTCCAGTAAATCATTCATGAGGAGGAGGATGACAAAAGCTGAAGTCCTGTCTTTATGATGATGTTGAAGTTCAATAAGAGCCCAAAGCACTTCTACACTAACTTGCACAACAAGAAACAGATAGGGTTCATTTGGTCGTACTAGCAGTCAATATAAGATAACAAACTGAAATTTTAAAAAATAAATGAAAGTTTATATTCTCTTAAAAACAAGAGACAGATGATCCAAGTATGTAAAAGAACAGGAAAGGGTCTTGATGTCAGATGGGTGACATTGATTGGAACAGTTCATTTTGCTAATTTAAAGGCTTCCTTTCAACTTTCATATCTGTCAGGAACGAATCACAAGATATCTTGATATTTTGATGCCATAACTGACAAACAAGGATGACTTAAAACAGCCAAGTAAATTACTTGACTCAATTAAGCTGTCAAGGCAGAAACAGGTAGACTGTAATTTTTAATGACATTTTCATGATATTTCATGATACATGCATCGGTTGCATTTATTCAGAGCAGGCAATGGTTGCACTTACTTAAAACAAACATTTGTTTATTAGTACTGTAGTTCATGATCTTGGTTATAGTTTGGTTTTGCAGAAAGAAAATGTCTTGTTTCTATTTTTCCCAGTAATTTGTACTGCAAGGAGATAAAGATTAATTAAGGCCTGGTCTTGAAGAGGACTTGATTTTTTGTGTTTTGGTCTTGAACTGGTCTTGCTCTCAATCAGACTCGGTCTTGACTCATTCTCACTATCATGTGGACCCCATCTTAACTTGAACAGGCCCCCTTTAAACTCAGTCTTGACCCGATCTCAACTAGTCGAGGTTTTGGACCTGTCTAAGACTCAACAGTGTCTAAAGTCCTACAAGCATACATACTACATAGTATACATCTGTGCTAGAAAATATATATATATATATATATATATATAAAAACCTCGCATCTCCATTTTTGTCGTTTTTCAGTTTTTGACATAATTTGAAAATGCCTGTTGCCCTTTATATTGTGTGTAAATTTCATGATGAGTGGACTGCAAGAAACGGCCCAAAACGACTTGGGAAAAAAGTCTGTTTCCATTGACTTACATTAAAAGTAAAGTAGGTTTTTTCCTTTTCCTGTAAAGTTACCATTTTGGAGATGCAAGGTTTTCTTCTGACAACAGCGATATACAAATGTAGCATGAGTGAAAATGTTACACCAAAGATGCATACATACAAACTCGTCACGTTGAGGGGAATTTTGCCATTTTGAATGCTGAATATGTTATTTATGTTTATCATGATGATATGAGGAATTTTTACATTTTGGAAGTTGGAAAAAAGGTGAAGTATTCAGAGAGTCACTATTCTCCCCCCAAACACAACAGCACATTAGCAGCTCACCAACCCACAGATATATTATTTAATTTTTATGGGTCAATAAGAACTTAATGTTACCAAAAGGTGAATAGAGAGCCATGTTTTGTGAGCGGAAGTTGGTTTCATTTTTGCATATTCAGAAATGTAATTTTTAGTTTTTTTAGCTTTTGATGAATGGGTGGAAAAAAAGCTTATCATGTGTTAACTTGACACTGTTAGCAAACAAAACAACACACTTGCATTTGAAATTGTAAAACACATTAATTTCTATGGCCTAAGTGGTGATCATCGGGGTCCAAGCACTAAATGCCTTTGAGTGACATTTAGGTCTTTTAGATTACATATAGAGCTCGAACTATGGGTAAAGTTTTTAGAAGGGTCTCTATTTACAATAGATGTGGGGTCTCAAGAGGAGTTGCTAAATTTGACCTTTTGACCTTGGAATGGTACGCAATAGATTTTTGACAAAGAAGTCAACACAACTAAAAAAAATAGTACAATATTTGGACATGATTTGTATTTGCATAGATGTTACACTCAATGAACTAAATATTTCCAAAGCAGTTACACCTGTATTTTAGTCTCAGAGGGCAACAGAATTTTGTGTTAAAATCAGCATAATTGTTCTCTTAAGAATAATGCAGCCAGACGCTGCTACATGGGCTTGGTTTCCTAATCTTTACCTTTTTCACTGCTTATACACATTTTCATGTCTAAACATGGGGTTAATTGTAACAGACTGAGGTGCTAACATTATCTATAATAGTATATTAAATCTATTCAAACACATAATTATATAAACTAATACTGTGCTATATCAATCAAAAGAATATAATAAATTATGCATCAAAATAAATATTATTCATAAAAAGAGACTTCATCTATCATGGCAAATTAAATTTTGACCACTAAGTAGAGTAATACACATATTATGCACAAACACACACACATTTCTGAATAAAAGGTTCCAAAAACTGAACTCATCCTACTAATAAACATTTTCTTTCTTAAGAGCTGACTTTTTTGGCAGATTCATTTCTAGTCTCGGGGGTCAGTTAAATCCTCTCCACTTTGCTGCTTCTGGTTTATCTGCTGTCGAGAGGTTAAGGAAGTTGAAGTAGAGTGTAAATGTCTGACCCCCTGTTCAGCTTCCTTTCCTGTGTGAAGGCTCCGGTGTTTTTTGAGGGAACCACTGTGTGAAAAACTCCTTCCACATTCTGAGCACTGATACGGTTTCTCTCCTGTGTGAACGCGCTGGTGTCTTTGGAGACTGCTCTTTACTGTAAAACCCATTCTACACACTAAACAGTGATACGGTTTCTCTCCTGTGTGAATGCGCTGGTGTCTTTGGAGAACATTCTTTCGATTAAAGTTTTTTCCACACTCTGAACACTGAAACGGTTTCTCTCCTGTGTGAATGCGCTCGTGTTCTTGGAAACTGCTCTGTACCGTAAAACTCATTCCACATTGCGAACAGTAATATGGTTTCTCTCCTGTGTGAACATGCTGGTGTCTCTGGAGAACACTCTTCTGGTTAAAACTCTTTCCACACTCGGAACACTGAAACGGTTTCACTCCCGTGTGAATGCGCTTGTGTTCTCGGAGATGACTCATTTGATTAAATTTCGTTCCACACTGTGAACAGTAATAGGGTTTCTCTCCAGTGTGAATGCGCTGGTGTCTTTGGAGACTACTCTGTGCAGTAAAACTCTTCCCACAGTCTGAACAGTTATATGGTTTCACTCCTGTGTGAACACGCTGGTGTCTTTGGAGATTACTCTGTACATTAAAACGTTTCCCACACTCTAAGCATTGATACGGTTTATCTCCTGTGTGAATGCGCTGGTGCACTTGGAGATTACTTATCCGATTAAAACTCTCCCCACACTCTACACACATATATTCTCCTGTGTGAACGTGCTGGTGTTTTTGGAGATGAAATCTGTCAATAAAACTCTGTCCGCACTCAGAGCAGTGGTGAGTTCTCTGTTTTTCTGTACTTTTCTGCATTTTTCTGCGAGATGTCCTCTTGCTGAGAGTATCAGTTGATATTTGTTGAGTACCGGAGCTTCTGGATGCCATTTGCTTCCTCTAGCTTCTCCTGGTAAAAGAAAAGAAATTAACAATTCAATGTCAAATGAACAGTGTAATAAACACAGGTTGGTCAGGGAAGTAGTAAAAGGCTGTATCAGCTCCTGACAGTTTAACAAAAATGATCTCTAGTTACAATATTTTTAAACTTGTTTTAATTGTTACAGTAGCTGAATTTTAATTGGTAAATTATTCTTTTATTTACAGGCTCTACATGCAAATGCCTCTCTTGATGTAGATTTGTTGACCCTTGGTATAATCAAAAACCTAGATTATTTGAACTTTGATATCATTAAGCAACCTGCATTATATGACGTTAATAAACAAGAAAGGTTATAAAAGGTCACCAGTTGACTTAAACAAAGGTGGGCTATGCCCTGTATTTCTTTATACGTCAACAGAATTTTGTAATCAGCTCAAAATGCAACCAGTATTCAGTGCAAGCCAGATAAAACAGATCTAATACAATTAACCTTCTTAGTCCTAATAAAGAGGCGTTGCTGCTGTGGTTTGTACAAGTTGGATCTAACTCAGAAACCCATTGGAGCATCCATTAGCAGTACACTGCAGTAATCCAACCTTTAAGTAATACTGACATACTACTACTGCTGATGTACTTTCTCAGCATGTTGAATGGTTGACATATTCCTAATAGTTTGTTTTTGACAGATGTTCTTAATGCAAAAGAACATCTATTGAGAAAATTTAAGACATTATTTTTCTTAGACCCAATGAGCAAAAACCTAGACCAAAGACCTAAAACAGGATTTGACTTGTCATTTTCAAAATAAAATAGCTTTGATAAGACATAGCACAGCTCAGGCTGCTGAGCATGGATCCTTCTGTACAAATTTCAAACTTTCCTTTTTAAGTCTTAGAAAAGGTTGTTTTCAAACAATTAAAAGCATATCAAATATAAGACAAATCATTTGAGAAATTTCAATGAGGTTTTCATTCTATACGTATTACTGAGACAGCTCTGGTTCATGTAGTGAATGACCTCAGGCTCAGCGTTGATGCACAAACTCCTAATTTCAGTTTTATTGGATCTTAGTGCAGATTTTGATACCATTGACCCCAAGACTCTAATTATATATATTCTAATTATATATATCTAATTATCTAATTATATTTAATAAACAGACAGTTCTTTGTTTTACTGGGAAGTCATTCATTTAAAAACAAGATGACCTTATTTGGAGTGGTCCTGTAGATGATTAATAAACTCTAAACAGAGTATCAGTAACATCTTCGTATCAGTGAAGTTTGGTGGGTATAGTGTACTGGGTAACACCTCTGCTATCTATGCTGTAGACTGGGGTTCAATCCCACCCTGGGTAAGCAGTCCTTGGGCAAGACTCCTAACACTACCTTTGCCTACCTGTGTAAAATGATCAAATTGTAAGTCTGGATAAGAGCGTCTGCCAAATGACAGATGTAAAAATGTAAATGTAAGTTGCAGCTGTGAAGCATCTGAATACATTGAAGATGCTTACATTGAGAAGATGTACTGTTAATATGTAACATGAAGTACATTTTATATTGTACTTTCATTACGCAAAATCTAACCCAACCTGAACCAAAATCTAACCCTGGCCCTAATCCTAACCCTAACCTTAACCTCAACCCAAAACCTAATCCTAACCCTCAGCCTGGCCCTAATCCTAACCCTAAACTTAACCTCAACCAAAACCTAATCCTAACCCTCAGCCTGGCCCTAATCCTAACCCTAACCTTAACCTCAACCCAAAACCTAATTTTGTAGTTGTTTTTAAATAAGTTGGCAGTTTTAGTGGTAACTAGTTGGTAATAAAATAATGGTAATGAACTCTAATTACCCATTACTACATACAATTTTAACCTTCCAGCTTATGCAAAATAACTGCTAATTAACTATTACACTAAAAATGAGTTATACAAAACATTGTCATTGTAACCGTTTTTACATTGAATGCGTTTACATGCACTTAATAATCCAATAACGGCAGAAAATCAGATTTTGTCAGTAATCCGATTAACATGTTTACATGCACTTGAGTAATCAGATAATTTGGAATTTTCAGGTCTAAATTAATCAGACAATAATTGGATTTCTTTGCCACCAGCCAATAAACTCACAGAAGAAGACGTGACATAAACATAACGTAAAACTCAAACTTCATTCCGCAGCTTTTTTTGAACATCACGTCACTTTACCTGAAAATATGAATATACATCATCTAGAAGGTGAAGAATATTTAAATCCTTCATGTTGTCAAACACGTGTTTTGTTTAAGCGTTGCTTTAAAAGTGTTTTGCTGCGTCTTGCGGCATCACTATTCATTTATAACTGGTACTGCTGTTTTTCGCAGACTGAGAAAGAAATCAGAGTACGAGTTTCATGCACTGAGAAATCTGATTGCTAGAATCCAGCTCCCTTTATCAGATTTCTTAATCAGATTCCTAGATTGGAGTATGGTGTTTACATGACCATTTGAATAATCTGATAACTGCAGAAATCTGATTATGATTGGATTATTGAGCGCATGTAAATACACTCATTGATAGGGATAGTGTGTCTAACTCTTGCAGCATCAGAGCTCAATCAGCATATTACCCCAATTAAAAATTAAAATCCTTGCACAGTTCTATTGGAACATCCTGTCGTGTCTTGTCTTTCTCTGTTTCAGCCTTTGTTTCCACGTGCCACATCCTTTTGTTTTGCTCCGCCATGTGCTTTTGTTGTTATTCTGTGTTCACTCCTCCCCTGTCCTGCTCTGCCTTCAGCCCACACCTGTTTCTTGTTTCTGGCTCCGCCCTTGTCAAGCATGCTCAGCTGTCCCTTGTCTTAAGTGTCAATATACGTTTAACAAGAATGTTTAGAAGTATTGAACACAATATGAAAATTCTTTGACAGGTAAATAAATCAGTCCCATCAGTTTGTCTACAGTGCTTAAAACCCTTATAACAGCTTCTGATAGTTTGCCAACAGTTCTGATGCAGGTTGGCTGCTCAGTGTCCTAAATTTAGTATCATTGCAATATTAAGAATCCTCTTACAACCAGAAACAAACTGATACCTGGATATTTTAAAGTCATATAAATCCCCCCCTGAGTAAATACACAATACTATAGATAAAGCATGGCCTGCACTATTTGTAAAATAGCATCTTAGCATAACAAAAACCCTTTAAATCCCACAGACAATTGATAGGATGAAACCAATCCAGCTTTGATAGAAAAAGAGAAGTACTTACAGAGAGCATAAATCTCAATGGTTTCAACAAGGAGGGCAAGTGTGTCTGTCAAACAACCCTGAAACGCATTTTCCTTCTTCTTCTTTGTCTGAGTGATGGTTGGCAGGTGAATGTAAAGGGCATTACTGCCACCTACAGAGCTGGAGAGTGGAGTGAGACCTCAGGAGAGCAAGATCACTCTGGACATCCATCTAAGAGGGTGGAAAAAAAATGCATGGCCCGGTATGGTGCATGCTGATTAGACTTGGTTGGTGGCACCTGTGCATCAAAATGCTATACGCTGTTATAATCTATCGGAAGCAACATGGCAGATCTCAGCTGCTCACCACCGGGCTGTGTGAGATGAGAAACGGCTTGATGATTGCAGAACTTCAGCCAACAACCATGTAGATCCAAACTGTATAGCCTACTAAAATGTGTAGCATTTGTGGTTACTATATTCATGTTTGAAATTCAAATGTATCCTAGGCTTTCAGTCGTGTGGTTTTTCTGCTGTGGCCGCCATTTTTGGGACTAAATTTCTGGCTTCACTGCTCCGCACAAATGTAACTAGAGGTGAAAGATGGCTAAAGTTACTCACCTCAACTTTGGAAGAGAAAAACATTACCTTGACAAAGTCGGTTTACTCCTGAACTCCTGGTCCCACTTAAACCGGTGGAAAGCTATCAAATTTGTTTTCCTGACATTCATATTTATCTCATACTCAGCCCCTCTCCCTATTCTGGAGTCTCTCAAAGCATTTAAAAGCACAGAAGCCCACCATAAAAAGGAGGAACACTCTGTCATCATAGGCGGGTAACAACATCTGCTAATTAACACAGACGTGAACAATGCTAGCCTTTAGATAACTTCAGCTAACGTTATCAGCCGGTATAACTTTACTTCTCTGTTTCTGGAGATTAAAATGATGTTTGACTGGAGAAAAATAAACGTTAAATATAAGACTAAATGTTGTGGGTCGGAAAACTATGAGGAAGAAACCTTGAGAGGAAGCAAGAGTCAAAAAGGGAACCCATCCTCCTCCGTTAGCTATCTAGCTAGGTGCAAATGTGTGAGCATTTAACATCGTCCAGTTGGCAAAACATCATAGTTATGCAAGGCTATCAAACTTGTAAAAACCCAGTTCTATGGATTAGGCCTATTATGCAGTGTTAAGCTCAAAATGAAAATTATTATTATCAAATTGAAATTAAGCTAGAAAGAGGAAAGGTAAAGAGGAAATGGTGCCTCTTCAGTTTGCATTTACTTATTTTTACCTATTGCACTCATTTTGTGGCAAAATGCATTTGTAGAAAAGTATTCGACTTGATTGCATTTTCATTTTCATGGCCTTCCCAACCTGTCAGAATTGTAAACTATATTGTTCAATGCAACTTATAAAACAGATAGTTCCGGCCTTAAAATCTAATTGGCTGAGGCGCGTTGGAAGCCGTTGTAAAATCCACAATATACCATTCCTATGACTGCCTCACAACAACTGAACTGTGTATTACTGCGGCACAGCACGAAAAAACCTTTGTGCTGTTAATGGAATAATCTTTGACTCTCATGCTGCTCGCATGGACCACTGAGTATAGTGATGAAGTAAGAACCCGTTTTTTGTTTAAACTGAGGGGCTGGTATCTTATGTTCTTAACTAAAACTAGTCAGCTAACTAACAGGCTAAAAGATGTCACTTGAATGGATAGGAATGTTTGTGTTTTTGTCAGTAGTATTGTCAAACCCCGGCTGAATCCCAAACAGCTCTGTACTCCCTTAATATGAAGATTTAGAAATTCTAGCCTCTACAGCCAAATAGTGCATCATTTATTGAGTGTGGATGTGTCTGAGTCCAAAATGACTATTTTTTAGCAATATTTTGCACTGTTGAGCTGCAGGATCTAGCATTGAAATTCCTACATAGTGCACTATGTAGGGAGCAGGAAGCCATTTGAGATTCAGCCCCAGCATGAGACGTGAGAAGAGGGGCGGCGCTGGATTGGTGCTAAATAAGACTTGCGGTTGTAATTTGGTGATGAAAAAGAACTTATAAAGTGTTTGCATTAAACAGTGTTATGTTATCATATTTTCATTGTTACACGACAAAAGGTTTTTAAAATCATGAAATGACCACAGTTTACAGCGATGGGCAACTGAACGTTCTCCTCATTCAGCAGTCCATGGTTGCTTAGCAACGATACCATACTCTAAAGGAAATACGTTCTTTTGTGGAATACTTGTTTATGTTGATTATTATTAATAACAACTTAAATTATTTTCTGAAAAGTTGTGTGTTTTATCATATTGTATGTTGGCCGCTTACGTTGTCGTGCCAAAGAACACCCTTCCCATGATAAATTCACAGTAATGCACAGCCTCTCGTGGCTTATTACTTTATTAACCAAAAGGTGTGGACCATCTAACTATGTGCTCATTAAAACTATTTTAATCGCAGATCTAGGTGCTAATATGTGGATGGTTGTACTCAAAAACAGATGAATGCAAACGCAAATCACTTTTTAAAATGCATATTAAAATCTCCAACTACCAGCTTTATCCTCACATACTAGCTAAACCCCAGAGGTTCTCTAGCAATTACTGTAAATACTGAATACAACCAGAAACCAATAGACAGTACCAAGAATAAAAGCATTGTTGTGACAATGTTGACCACTTTAAGTCAATAAAACTTTGTTATTCTCTCAAACAGTAGAACTAATTAACCAAAGATTTCGTGAACAGCTGTACACAATGGGCTCTGACCTCCTATCACTGGAAATTATACACCACACATTTCTAAAGGAAACTATAGATCCACCCCATTCACAGTCTATTCACACTCATGCTTCTGAATAGGTTCTATCCCCACCCTTTTATAAGCCCCCAAATCACCCACCATAGACAATTACCACATTTCATCGAGCGTTCTGGCTCTTGTTTTTCCCACATGCTGCACATTTTATATCCATCTTGAAGCATATCTTTATCTCTGTCCGTGCTGGCATATATAGCTGTACATGCAATATGACATGATTTCTTTTTGCACACGGTTTACATATTAGTTTATGAAATCTGTTTGACATGTACGCAGATTAATGCAGGGAAAATATTTTTCTTACACTGTTACACCCTCTTTCTCACTAACAACAATGCTGTGAGAGTGCAGAGGCCTAGACTGCAGATCAGAGCAAGTATTCTATAGTAAGCTATAGAAAGCAAGGAGCTTTACGCTGAAACCACAGGATCACAGCAGCTCTTGGAGGTCTTATTTATACCCAACCCATATTCTGAAAAAAAACCCAACTTCCTGTGCTAGGACTGGCTAATAGTTTATACAAGTGGTGCAACGATTTGCCAGATGAAAAGTGGTTCACGTCACTGTTGCAACCACAGAAACATGAGAACAAGTGATGCAGGAAAAGAAAACATTTCTACTTCATTATTTATATTATATTGATTTTGAAAGAGTCTCTAATAACAATAACATATGATTATTTCACATTCAAATAATGTTCCTTATCAGTGTTTGGACTCTCCAATGAAAACAGATTAGGACCACTTAAATCAATGGTGGGGGGAGCAGGAGAAAGATGGACATATAAATAACATTAATACCTGTTCTTTTCAGTGGAATTTGCTCAGCTGCACATTTACACCAACAAACATGTGACGCCATGTTCACCTAATGGGTTTTTTCTTCCAAAAGTTTGAGCCGATGGCATGAATTCCACAAGCCCCATGCTCAGCGCTTGTGTATAAGCAATCACATTATACATAATGAGACAAGTGAAAGTGAAACTTATGATATTTGTCCCCTAAAAGAAACTAACACTGAAAAAAAGGGTTACTTTAATTATTACAAACAAATTATAGCCTGAAAAATGTCATTTTAAATGAAAGTCTAGGGAGAAACATGCTTTTTGGCACCATGATGGATTTACTCAATTTGGCTACAAGGACTAGCCAGGCACAATCATCCAGCCAAACCCTGCACCCACAGAAAACTCCGGCAAACCTGGTTCTTTGTGTTATTTTAGGAACAATTCACTCGTCTAGGTTAGGTGAGACTGATGAGGCCCTCTTACCCCTAGAACACATATATCCCAGACCTCTGCAAGAAAACTTCCTAATTATATCCACCTCATCACAGTCACTTCATACTCATGCTGTCTTTTGTGTGACTGAGATCGAGAGCCATCAGCTATTAGAACAGTTTCTGCCACCAGGCTGTCAGTCTCCTGAACAGCTTTGTTCTCAGCCTATTTAAAGCCCTGAATCAGCCACTATAGCTCTTAATCTAGAAGCCACTGACCAGCAACCCCCATCCAAACATCACCACCTTTAATTAAGTGCGTTCATTTACAAAACCTGGTACATTACTGGCAATGCGTGGACAGTGACATGTAGAATTTTCATCATTCATTTAATGACATACTTTTTTTTGCTATAAAAGTCGTAAGTAAAGTAAACAGAGGCAGCTCTTACAGTTTGTTTAAGCATTGCATCAACAGATGTTTTTACTGATTGGACTGGATAATGATCAGATAAGTCAAACTACATTCGGAGGTGGTCAGAGATGGATCTTGGCCACACAAACGTAAACCAGAGCCTTTTTTGCACTTAGGGCTGATTAAAATGTCCTTGTCAGCTCATAATAGGAAAAGAGGTAATCAAAAGTAAAATGGAGCCCCTTATATGTTTACATAGTTCTTACATGGGACAGTAAAATCTGCATATTAAGATGTGAACAATGCCATTCAGAGCGGTTTGATGTAAAATGCTTCGTTGCAGAGATACTTACCGAGTCATAATTGTTCACAATGAGTTTGATAGGAACCAGACGTGTGAAGTGTTCAAAGCCTCTAAAAGCTACCTCAAAGAAGCTTATTACATTAAGTGGCCATGAATGCACTGCCTAATGTCTGAGCCATGTTGTATTTAATTATAATCTTTCTTTTCCTGTTGTGTGTTTTAGGAGCAGTTTAATCTTTTATTTGTCATACAGGTTTTATGCAATTGTTAATGCACAAGTGCCAGACCACATAAAAGATGTTGCCATCAGCCAATCAGCATTGTTGACACTTATTTTGTTTGCAACTACTAGCCAATCATAG